ATATAGGGAAACCTGAACGCTGTGCAGTACAGAGACCAAGTGTTGCAGCCAGTTGTGCTTCCCATCTTACAAAACCAACAGCAGGGGACATTGTTTCAATACGACAATGCCAGGCCCAATACTGCAAGACTGACTCGGAACTTTCTAAACCAGCAGAACGTTGACGTTTTGCCCTGGCCTGCCCACTCACCCGATATGAATCCTATTGAGCATCTGTGGGACCATCTTGACGGACAGATTAGAGCACGCCATCAGCCTCCCGTTAACAGACAAGAATTGCAGCAGGCCCTGAGAGACGAGTGACAACGGATTCCAGTCCACGTCACAAGAAGACTGACGTCATCGATGAGGCGGCGTATCACAGCATGCATTGAGGCAGCTTGAGGTCAAACACGCTATTGAAGGCAACTGTGTCGACAAAGAACTTGTAGTGTGTCTGACAATTTTTTGGTGACATTTCAGACAACTTTTGAAATTGAAATTTCTTACCCCACCATTGTGTACCTTGAGCTTACATTACCTGTGATTGCACAATTTCATTCAAACTGTGGTTGATCAATCATGTGTTACCCCTCCCTTGATTATATACTCACACGAGAAAGAAACGCAAGTGGTTTTAAGCAAATAGGTAACAAACACGGAACCATAAATTAATACGAGTTTTACCATGCAGTGAAGCCTGATGGTGTTATCAATATTTTTGGTTGCATTTTGGAAGCCCCGAGTAAAAACGCAACATAAAAAACGAATCGCCCAAACGCACCATTTCAATGAATATGTGGGTATCATGCACCAATTTCTCGCGAAATCGAAAATGCACTAACTGTCACGAACTGTAGTGGGTATAAAACTGTCGCCGATACTTGGACCTACCACTCCTTGGTCAACAATGCCACGCCTAACTCAAATTCAGAGAAACCAGGCTGTCGGACGTTTGGAAGCTGGAGAGTCTGTCCAAGATGTTGCCCGTCATTTCAACGTTAACATAACCACAATTTACCGTCTCCTGCATCGACACAATGCTACACAGACCACAGATGACCTTCCTCGGAGCGATCGTCCTAGGGTCACCACACCTCGACAAGATCGGCAGATTACCCGTCAACACCAGCGACATCCGTTCCTAACTGCAAGTGAAAGTTCTCGACCATAGGAACACATAATCGACACATTAGCCGGGACACCGTGATCCGACGTCTCCGTTTCAACAACCTCAGATGCCGCCGACCAGCACGTCGTCCTGTTCTCCAACCACGGCATCGATAAGCACGACTTCAGTGGGCACAGGGTCATCACAATTGGCGTCATCGTGAGTGGAGGCGTGTCATCTTCTCTGATGAAAGTCTCTTTTGTGTCTCCCATGCAGACGGAAGAGTCAGAATTTGGTGGCTTCGAGGTGATCGTTTCGCTGACAGAAACGTTATGGAAAGGGATCCATGGAGTGGACCTAGCGTCATGATATGGGCAGGGATTGGACTTAATGCGAGACTTGGACCCATGTGCTTTCTGAATGTTGGTCAAGGTCGGGGACACGGCGTCACTGCTTAGCGGTATATCGACCAATTGATTAGACCCCACGTTGTTTGTACAACATCAACAACACATTTTCCAGCAGGACAACGCTCGTCCCCATGTTGCCAGAGCTACCATGGCCTTTCGGCAACAACACAACATCCGTGTTCTACCGTGGCCAGCCCTCAGCCCTGATCTGAACCCCATCGAACACTTGTGGGATGAGGTTCAAATGCGTCTGCACAATGTGCGCCCAGTCCCTACAACTGCCGATGAACTACGCACAGCTACTCTGGATGTGTGCAGGAGGAGGGCTTTCACAAATCGTCTGATCCGCTCAATGTACAGGAGATGTGTGGCAGTGATCAATGCTAACGGTGGTCACACCAGGTATTGACTGACATTTTGGGTATTGACCCGAAACTGTGTAAGCCCTTAACATTTGAAAAAACCCAATTATGTCATCTGCCTTTTAATCCATTAAACTGTCTTCAGTCAAATTTTTGTCAATCTTGCCCTATTAGTATTTCTTGTCTTTACTGTTGAAAATAAATAACATACTCGACTTGCGTTTCTTTTGCGTGTGAGTATATTATAATTAACAACAAAACCTCTTCTTGTTATTTTTTTATCGATCATGGAACTCGACCTATACTTTCTTTTGCCGCCCAGTTTAGATTGTATAGACTTCACCAAGTGGATGCTCATAGCGCTACATTATTATTACCCCGAACAAAGCCACTTGCCTAAGGAGTCACCACATGTGGTACATGTGCTTCAGTGAGGGGCAGGACCGAAGCCCTAGAAACTCTCAGGAGTCAAGCTGCTGAACGTGGTCACCCATCCAACTACTCTCCGAGACCGACGTTGCTTAACTTCCCCTGATTTGTGATCTGTGCTCTGTGCACAGGACCACGTGCCACCACATGACAAAAATTATGACACTATGACAAAAATTGGCTAAATTCTAGAGTAGGTGTCGTCCTCAGCAATATTCCAGCTATATGACGGCGGTACATAAACGAGTCTGGACCAGACAGTCCAGTGATTGACATCATGAGCATCGACCCATGCAATTGGGATACGATGACATGCATCAACCAAGTCAGCCAGCCTGACCACCCGATCCCGTTAGTCGCCTCTTACGGCAAGCATAGTGACCTGTTACGGCAAGCATGGGTTGCTGAAGAGCTATTCTTCCCCGGATCTTCACGGGTCTCTACTTATGTAATGAAGCGTGTTCGCTGATAACATTTCATAACTGTCAGCACTCGTATAGGTGCAGTTCTGATAGGTAAATGACACATTCACTTACAATATCAATTCTGATATTACTTTACAAATACTGCTTTGTCCGCACATGTATCTTTGACAGCGTTGAGAAACCGAAGTCTACAGATTATTCCCTTCTGAGACGGTATTTTCAGGGAAACTCGTTAAGCCAATCACAATTTCGTAATACAGACCATTGGGAAAGAAGTCATGCCTCGTATATTCGTAGACCTTCACAACACGTGCGTGTCCGGAAGGAGAGTATTTCCTGATTAAGGAGGTTACAGTGTATGAAAAATGCGACAAAACCCTTTCCATATTTATAAGAAATTTCTGCCCAAACGTTAAGCTCATTATGAAGTTTTTCAGACATTTAGTTAAAACACCCCGTTAACATAAAGGAAACATCGGATAAGTGTGAGTGAGTGAGTGAGTTGGGTTTAACGCCGCTTTTAACAGTATTCCAGTTATATCACGCTCCCCCCCCCCCTTCCTCCTCCCTACACACACACACACACACACGCACGCACGCGCGCAATATCACACGGCTTCACACATTGATGATCGTAACTCCCATACTTTAACATAGGCTTACAATAGTTGTAGCGCTAAGATCGCTTTTTGCAAGTGGGCCCCGGTCTTCGGTGTGACGAACGAACGCTTTAACCACCAGGCTACCCAACCACCCCTACACAAGGGGAACCCCCAAAGGAAAAGTAACCATGTTCACATTTTCATATTTCATACTTTAATATAACACCTTATACATTAGTTTGGGGGATTATACCGAGGGGAATAGGCAAGAGGTATAGGCCTGATACCGTGAATTCTGTATAATAGTCTGATAAATAGAGGTTATCACGCGAGTGTGTTTGGGGATGGTAAATATCCTGTATTAGGAATAACCATTGTATTAAGCGAGCCTTAGTGTTTATTCCTAATACAGGATATTTACCATCCCCAAACACACAAGCGTGATAACCTCTTTATCATATAATGTCATTCTTTAATTCTGTGCTTTAAAATCACTTTCCTTCTCTCACAATTACCAAAACATTGCGAGTTTTCCTGAAATGCGCGCATTAATATTTATTACGTCACAGGGTAAGTGATGTGTCAGTCGGACAGTGACAGTAGCCAATATAGTTTCAACTGAAATCTGTTTCTTATACAGTGGCGAAGCAACATATACGCAAAACAACAGTTGTTTTTAAATTGCCTTTCGCGGCAATCCATCGGTCTGTCCGCTAGAGTAACTGCCCTTTGTCAAAGGGAAGCTATTCTTACTCTAGTCTATGAGACGTCACGGCCACGGTCAGAAGTTGTTGACAGTCGGTCTGTCCTATCATAACGTTAAGAAGTGTAGTCAGATGTACACACAGCGACAAAACGAAACAAGGTAACAATTCAAATATATTTCGGCCAAATCCAACTATTTTAATTTGTGGAGAAAGTTTCAAGCCGCAGAGGTCTACAAGCACAGATATGGCTACTGATCCCGCTTGGCTAGGCCTCGTGCCCTCGCAAAATTGTTTCGAAATTTGTATCTCCAAAGTTGCCAAACTTATGAAATGCCTTAGCTACGTCACAGTTAGACACTGATATTAAGTATATTAGACTGTTCTTTTGATAATGATAGCAAGTATCCCTGTAGTTTATCCAGATTCCCGATGGTTTATTCTGACTCGATCGCCGAATGACGAGGGCGACGCCATGTTTGTTTATAAACAGTGAAAGTAGTTCTACATGACCTTTGATATTTGCATCTCTATCCGCATATGACCCCAACGGATATCGTTTTTATCCGTTGGCTTTATCCTGCCGAGAAACCTACCCATTATATGATAAATATATGTTCGACTCCCGGTTCGCCCCGATTATGTCTCTAGGTTTGCCAGCACCATACCCGTCCACGTGGGTTTCATCAACCTGGCAAACATCAAAGCCCTGCATCACTTCGGGCTTTCCTCCCACATTAAGCTGACACTGACACGCCGTGATATAACTGATTGGAATTTTGTTCAAGCTCGTTAAACCCAACTCACTCACTCAGTCAGTGGTAAATAAGTACATAGTTACCTGCCATTAACATGGCATCTCTCATGTGAGCATAACTCACACAACGTGTCACAAGTACACACTCAGAAGGTTGTGTTTTTATTAACACCCCTCCAACGTGTGGATATCAGTTCCCAATGTAGAACACAGCCATCAATCACCGGGGCCATAAAGGGCGTGGTCCTCCGTGCAGTTGCAATACTGGGTCTCGGGTTTCCCGTTACAAATCGGATATATGACCGAGTCTCCACTCCCGTTAGGTGCAGCGTTAAACCCCCATTTCACATGCCATAGGGCCGTTGATGGTAGCATATGACATCAGAGCACGTGATCGACAGCTGGTTGTAAAACCAATGAAGGAAATTGTCGTTTACCTTTCTGTTGGACCTTGACTCCAACAGGAGTAGTTCAAAAGCTTTACGTTGGATTTACGGTTTAAGGTAGGTAAATACTAAAAGAAAGTGGTTGACATTTTTATAGACATTTTGTACAGGTAAGACATTCTTTATCATTTTAAAAAGTGAAATTAGTACATGTATGATGTAGTATTGATAGATCACGACAGGGTTGTTTCTGAAACCTTTGTAATTAAATACAATAGATAGTAATGCATCTACTAGGTGCCTAACTGACAAAGGCACATCGATAAAACGTTGTATTATCTAACAGCCAGACTACGCAGATTTAGGCCCTGAATACCTATTTTAACTCCCAGAATATTATCTGAATCTTCAAAACCAGTTTATTATCTTGACATGCTTTACAGACATTGATATACGAGTCGCCATCACAATAGCCCGGGTATGCGTGACTCGGGATATAACGCTCTTGTGCCTACGTGTACACCCGCCCAAAGAGCATTTTATTGTTTCTATGAAGGATTATAGAACGCCGTCAGAGGTCATATTCATAACAAATATTGACTGTAACGTGGGATGCAAATGTACCCAATCTGTTAGTCACGACAAACGATGTTTACTTTAGCACTGTCAGCTAGGGAAGTAGATTATATTATAGCCTCATTGATTTGGTTTAGATTTACAGCTCATGGGGCCATTTTCGAGAACAAGGAAATAGATGCAATCGCATTTGTATTCATTACATTTTGAATTAACACGTATCTTGTATTTCTCCCTTTACATCATATTTGAATTTGAACCACATTTTTATATCTGTATTAACAAAATCACCTTTAAAAAAAACACACTTCTGTCATCTAAAACAACAAGTTTAAAAACAAACAAACAATAAAACTGAGGTTATAACGAAATTTAAGGGACCACAAAGTTCGTAATAACCGTAGTTCGTTATAAGCATATATACGGCATATATACAGAAAAAATGAACTCAAAGGGACCACTAAGTTAAGTTCGTAATAACCGTAATTCGTTAAAAGCATATATACGGCATATATACAGTTAATGGCCGGGAAAAAACCCACAACAGTTCGTTATATCCGTCAGTTCGCCATGAACGTGTCCATTATAAACGTAGTTTACCGTAGAGACCAAAAAAATATCCCTTGACTGTGAATATAGATCTAAGGTACATGTACCTAATCAACTCATGACATCTATTACACGTATTCTGGCGAATAGAAGCAACATTGCAAATATTCAGTCATCCTTTCTAACACAGTAAAGACAATATTCGTGGCAGGGCTAACGAGGTCCCGAATACCCATTTATATGCTCACACGTAGATCGGCACTCACACTGGCCCAGGTACTACACGTATATCTCGTGCTCCTGAGGTTGACCAGACAGGAGGAGGATGTTGTTTGCGTGTCACTCCATTGGTTTGTCTGGTCCTGGTTTTAATCCCCACAGGCCGTCGTGATGGAGTTGTGATGATGTGACTGTCACCCACTTCGTCACCCAGGGAAGTCAAGTGGTTGCAGTGTCGGCTTGGCACACCGGGAAGTCTCAGGTTCAGTACCCCACGTAGGTACAATGTGTGGAGGCCATTTTTGGAGTCCCTAATTTGGCTGGAGTTTTACAAAAGCGCGTAAAACTAAACTCACACTAACTCTCTCACTCGTGTAACTGGCTTTGCTCTGTACTTGCTCTGTAGCGTGCTTCCGTGGAAAAGTATGTTGTTTTTTTAACTAAAGGACGCCACAACACCACGTTAATGTACAAGACTACACATAATGATTTCATTTAACAACCTATTAGGTACAGCTGATACAGTAACTGGTATACCGTTCAAAGCAGTGATAACTCCAAGTCACTCACTCACTCACGCATAGTACCATAAGCCTAGGTATCAAGTATGTAGTATGAGATATATGTGAGACATGAGAGACATTTAAACACATGTCTCAGTTGCCGGTTAATGAACTGGAACGTCGGTAAACGGAAAGTATGTTCACGACAGGATCAACAACGTTCAGAGCAATAGTCCCACTGACAAAGGGCAGTCAACACGCCAGAGGGGCGGTCGGGTAGCCTAGTGGTTAAAGCGTTCGCTCGTCACGACAAAGACCTGGGTTCGATTCCCGACATGGGTACAATGTGTGAAGCCCATTTCTGGTGTCCCCCGCAGTGATATTGCTGGATTATTGCTAAAAACGGCGTAAAACCATACTCACTCACTCACTCACTCACTCACTCACTCAAGGTATGAGAGTACAGACTCGGGTAGTTTCAGCTAAATATACTATTACCTATCTTCATACTACGTTTTACTTTATCTAATTTCCGAAACTCCATCAAACACCCCTGTGTTAATGAACATGTTAAATCATTAATTTAGTTTACTTTCGCGTATATTACAAGAGGTAGTTTACTTTTTTTTACAGGGGGTGCAAATATTTGTACAAGTATCACTTGTCCCAAACTTGTGTTTTCATAATTCAAATAAAACTGTTTTCTAAAAAAATCCAGGGGTGGGGGTGGGGGAGGCAACTGCCCACCCCCACCCCCTATCCCCCCCAACCCCCGGCTGGGTACGGCGCTGTATCAACATCAAGATGCAGTTTTAGCATCCCGTTATTACAATAGTGATATAACATGCGTGCACGACTCTCTAACGTCACAAGGTTGAGGAGGCATGGACAGACCCAAAGTGTTTTATCTAACAATTCACAACCTAGTTTACATGGCAGCTGTGGATTACATTATGTATCCCATAATGCTCGCAGGCTGCTTGTTACTCGGATTCTGATTGGACAACACTTACTGGTACAAGTACTTCCGTGTTAACACATCTGAGATATAGATACGCCTGTTTACGTCACTGGTGGCTATTCTGTGACGATCGATGCAAAGAGGATTAACGTTTCAACTGCATTTAATTTAATGCTATCTTACGGTTATTATACGTACATGTAGATCAATGACAACTCCTGAAGTAGAGAATATATAACGTCAACGCCAGGGAACAACCAGCCTCGATTATCCACCGAAACAGATTCCATTAGGGTAAAACGCAAAACAGCGGTGAACATTGTATGAATTGTATGGTGAATGTGGGAGGTTCCCACTATATATAACATCTTATACTCGATGCCTACGCTGTGGGATGAAGTTATTGTGTATGCCTGAACATCGTTTGCCAAAGAGAGCTTATACTATGCTGGTATGTCTTGATAGTATTGGGAAGAACACATGGGCTTCCCGTATACGCTTAACTCTGGATTCATATGGATCTCGCAATCTTTTGGTGATATAAATATGTTTTTGCAACAATTTCGAACTCGTGCTATAGATATGTTCCGACAGGAATGGCATTCTACACTTTCAGGAAGTTCGAGATTCGACACATATCGTAATATTAAGTTCCTCCTTGAATCAGAGTCGTGTCTTTCAAATTTAAGATTCAAACACTTCCGCAATACCTTTATATACTTTAGACTTGGTCTAATTGATTTAAAAGAGAATAGAGGAAGATATTTAATATTGAAAGTCCCTAAGAATTTGCCCTCCTGTAACCTTGGTGTTGAAGACGAATTTCATTTTATGGTTATTTGCCCTGTATATAAGAAAATAAGAAGGGAATATCTACCCGCCTGGTTATTTTCATGTACATCTACCAATTACTTTGAATGTCAAAGAAAACGTATAGCGTTCAACCACAAGTAGCTTTATTCATTCATCATGATTTTCTGTTACGTCAGTTGGCTTGACACTCCGAATTCTATAATATTTGTTAATATGACTGTATGTTTATGTAACTCACATTTTTATGAGCCAATGACCTTTCATACAATAAACCTTTGAATTGATTTGAATTGAATTGATCACTGAAAATTAGTGATGACACCAGGTGTTCGCGAAAAGGGATACAACATTGCGATGATGTAAAATTATGTCCTACACGAACAAGAGCAGGTGACATGACTCGTCTGACATTGCAGCTAACATGGTTTCTACCACACGTCCACATAGTTCGCTGTCAGCCAGTATACAACCGGAACAAATCCCCGTTAACTAATTTAAAAAAAAGTTTATTCGTCATGCGTATCACTGCATCGCGTGTTTGATGAGTGCAGGGATATGATAACAGAGAGTATAGTAGTTTCTTCCTGGTGAAAGTGTGTCTGCTAAATGACAAGAAACATACCTCTGCTGAACATAACCCTGACTTTCATGATAAACATTTGACGTGCATGGACTGAGCAACATTTGCCGCAGTAATAAATCAAAGCTATTTTACATTTATGTGAAACAGTATGTGTTGAACAGATACATGACATACTTTACTTCTTAGACTCCTGTACACAAACACCTTATGTTTGTCCTAAAGCCAGACGGTGGATTAGTAAAGAAATAAATATCTGACTGTAAACAATGGCTGTAATACAAGCTATTTAAGGGGGTTATCTATAACCTTGTCAGTACTGTAGCCGTGGCTGTGCATTCTGCTATCGATAATTGACTAAACTAGGTCGGGCCGGGGACAGGGAACAGGGCGGCGATACAGGAAACTACAGGTAACTCTCAGGTGGTAATGGTCAACCGACATCCTGGATGTGGAGCTAGACAGCACAGGCTTGGTCATTAGAATGGAAACCTTACGTCATTCTGATTCATTCACTGTCACGACTTTGTGATCGCCCTCTAGAATACCTGGAATTTACCTGAGCGAGAGGGAACACCTTGACTCGCCCATATACAGGTGAGTGTTGTCCATGCTGTGTTAATAACGTGTAAACTATGATTCAGTCGGTCAGTCAAACATGATATATCCACACGTTATTAACCATAATATTACTCTTAATTTGAAGAACAAATTTAAAAGCCTATACTCTTATTTATTACTGTTATTATCAACTAAAGGTAAATTTGATATCACAATAAAGAAGCAATGTTAATTGTTACCTAGAATTAAAAGGTCAACTTCTCAGTGGGATTCCTATTGTATGAAAGGAAACACAAAAAGGGAGGTAGAGCCTGTGTATATAGGAATAGTACATGGCCATAAGCTTCTTCCAATT